CCGGACTGAAGCAGGGCTGCCCAATGCGTAGACCCACAGATGCTTTCAGGAAGGCAGAGCACGCTGACACAGTCCACACCCAAAATAACCTGCCACCCACTGCCCCCGGCTGGCTCCTGACCCCCTGCACCCCCCAGCTGTGGGCTAGCTCTGTGCCCCGAGCTTTATTATTACAATGGTTTTCGGTAGCACCCCCCACCCAGGGACTCGGCTGTGCCCTGGAGCGGCCGGAGGGTGCTGTGGGGTGTGAGCATGGGGGCCGTGGGGCAGGGTGAGATCCGGACTCAGCAGGGCTAGCGGGTGGGCACCCTGTCCGCACTGCCTCAGCCACCCACCTGCCCGCGTCTCCTGCAGATCGTGGCCGCCCTGGACGCCAACCCCACAACGAAGCGCACCCAGCTCCAGCACAAGTTTGAGCAAGTGATTGCACTCATGGAGGATAACATCTACGAGTGCTGCAGCGAAGCCTAGGCCAACTGCAGCCCTGGAAATGACCTTCTCCGCAGTGCCGTAGGAAACCTGCCTTCAGCCGCGGATACACCGTGGATCACCTCCGCCAGGGTCATTTTCAAACCAGCCTTGTGGTGGGGGTGGGCCTGGCCCGTGGCTGAAGGGCTCCCTCACCTAACAAGAAGCCACAAGACATCTTTCCAAGCAGCTCAAAAAACATCTGGTCTGCACTGTGGCACCCATAATTTATTTGCTGTTGCCAGCCAGAAGTGGAGACATGACACTTGTGGCAAGCTCAGTTCACCACTTCCCTCTGATCAGTGCCCAAGTGGTCAGCAGCTCCCTGCATCCCTGTTTGTGGGTCCTCAGGACGAGAGACGGGGCTGCAGAAACTGTAACAACGGACGCAAAGCAGAAGGGTAGCCTCAGGGAGTAACGAGCAGACACAGCAAAGGCCATCGGAGCAACGCCTGAGCTCCCTTACACACCATCCTTCCGACATCCTTGTTTTTCCAACACCAGGGACTCTTATCAGCTGTTCACTATCTGCTGCATTCTGTGTATTTTTGTGCCTTTTAATTTTTGTACTGTATGTGTAAACATAACCACTCCTCCATCTGAGACTTGGGCAGCATGGGGAACTCGGGGCTGAGGCAAAGCAGTTGCTTACCAAGAAGCTAAGGCATGGTGAAAGCACTTTATCCCCTAACGGAGACAGCTGTTACGGAGCCAGAGGGAGTGTGTGATGTGTTAGCGTGGGAAGGGCTGCTCCTCCTTCCCCAGGTTCCTATACCCGTGTGCACAGTGAGCAGGGCAGGAGTTGGAGTGGGTCGGCTGGTCACAGGCATGGCTTCTGCCCAGCGGCTGAGGGCAAGGACTCGTGCCTGGCGGCCCAGCCTCCCATCACATCTATGGTGCTGCCCCAGCTCAGTCCCAGTAACGCCGCTCATGCCAAGAGGGGTCAGCTCCTGGTGACAGCCCTCTGACAGAGCGGGCTTGAGCCCTGTGCAGGGCAGAACACTGGGTAGCATCTTCCCTCATTCTGCCCCACACACTCCAGCATCTTCCTGCCATCAGCACCGAAAACAAGGTCAGTGCTACAGTGGTGTCTTCCTAAAGCAGCTTGTTCTGCTTGCTTCGGACCCAGCCACCATGGTTGTCACCTGAGAGCAACCAAGAGCACGCAGTTTTGCTGTGTGTCCGGTCTTTTATTCGGCCCATAAAGGCAAAGGGACTGGGCCCCATCCCCTGGCAGCACCATGCTTGCTCCCACAGGCCAGCACCCCGAGCTGCAAACAAAAGTGGAAAGTGTCCCGCACTTACACTGGGGTCAGCAGGCAGGGTCCCATCGTGCAGATAAACAGAGCTCGCCCACGACCTAGAAACTTCACTGCCGTCCTGCAGCATCTGCGCTGGGGCAAAACCCCCGTCCCAGCCTGGTGGCCCATTCTCCTTTCTGCAGCCAGGGGAGCCGAGACCACTCTGGTCTTCTCCAGCATCACACAGGCCCCTCTGTAGAGGCTGGACCGCAGCTAACGCCACATGCTCAAAGCCAGCATTCACGTGCAGGCAAAGGCAACCTGCCCACAAAAGCTAAACCCAGCCGTAGCCACCGTGTTTTCAAACTGCCAAATAGAAAAGAGAAAAAAAAAAAAAGAAAAAAGTTACTACCTCACTCCAGGCAGGGTCCGGCTAAGGTGAGCCTCCATTACTCATCCAGCTGGCAAGGATGCAACCTGGTATTAGATGACTTTGGTCCACCAAAACTCCTCCTGGGTGACTCACTGCCATGGACAGGTGGCCTCCATCCCATTGTTTCCAGTAATGCCACATTTGTCAGAAATTGGAACATCAGAATTGTGTATGTGTATATAGATATCTATTTTAAAACAAATGATAGACTTTATCCAGTATGTTAAAATGGGGGGTAGGGAGGGGAGGGAAAAGGGAAGAACAGAGGTGGGTTGTTTGTTTTTTTTTTTAAAGAGAACTACAGAAAAAGTACATACACTGTGGAGGTTTCAATGTCTTTGCTGAGGATGTGGCTTCAGAATAGAAACTCTAAGAATGTAGCTGGGCTACATTTTATTTTGAAAGTGATTTCACAAAAAGTTCTTGAATTTCTTTTAGAAACTGTGAATAGCTGCCAGAGATATAAGCAGGCCCAGCACAGGGAAGGTCAGGGTGAGAAGGACCAAGGTAGCAGAGAACGTTGAGCTTGGCTGGAGGTGGGGAAAGGGGCATGGAGCAATAGCCCCATGTTGTTAGGAGGAAAGGATACAGGTGAGCCAATAGTATAGTTTGCCTCCAGGTGACGTGACTGGGCTGTGTATTGAGGCCTATTGCTTTATTATTTAATTTTTTCCAAAGCAAAAAAAAAAAAAAAAAGTAGTTGCTACAACCATTTTAAAGGAACAACTTTAACAGAGCAGAAGCTTGAGGGTTTGTAGTGTTGCCTTGAACCCCCAAGCCCTTTGTAACATGTTTTTAAACTTTGGCACGTGTTGTGGGTGTAGTGCCCTTACCTGCTGTGTAGTGGAAGTGGCAGACTCTTGGAAAAGCTTATCTTTGTAATAAAACAAGGTGCTGAAATCTGTGCAGTGAAGTTCCTGCCCCTGTGCAAACAAGGGACACACAACATTGTGGAAGATACCTACGGGTGTGCGCAGCGAGCTTTGCATGTACAAGACATGCTGTGCTCAGGGCTGGCAGCTCAGCTGGTAACACCTTGTTTCCATGCGGGAGGGGATTTTACCCCTCTGGGCTGCAGAGCCCTGGTTTCCAGCAGAGCAGGCTGTGGCCACACACCACTCCTCTTACCCGGTACCACGGCTCCCGCCAGAACAGGAGGTGGCACGGGACGGGGAAGATCCATGTGAGGACACAACCAGGTGCCCGAACTGACTGCATGCTGTGCTGCACGCATGAAGGACAGTGAGACAGCGGTGCCCACGGCCGGGCACCCTTACCTCTGCCAGGTGCTGGCACGAGACAGTGTCTTCTCCCAGCCCTGGGGAGCCCAGCGCCTGCTCTGCACCACAGCTGCTGCCAGCCCTCGAGGCTTCTGGCTTCAGCTCCGTGACACCAGCCCAGCCCATAGGTCCTAATAACCATGGCATTGCTAAATCCTCTCTCTTCCACCTCCCCCAGTAAAAGCTGCTCTTTCCAGACACCAGAGGGATTTTCTTTTCCCCCTAGAAAGTTGATTCTTAGTAAAGCTAAATCCAGCCATTAAACAATTTGCTCTCTCAAAGCAAAAGAGCCTTGTGTTTCACACAAAGTACCTGGTGAGAGAGGACGCAGCTCCTGCCTGGTTCCGTTACAGGACGTTTCCACACAAGTGAGTAGCACTTTGAGAGACTGTCATCAAAGAGCCAGGTGAGCTCTGCTCAGTTACTACTGCGGTATCCTCCACCCTGTCCCTAGGGGAATACAAGTTTCAGCTCCATTAAAGATGGATCAACATGGCCAAGGCTAAAGTTTAAAGAGAAGTTAGTTTGCTCAGCTCTTGCTTAAGCCCCAAAGCAAGGCCAGGAGCCTTGGAGGGCATTGGCAAGGCCAGCTGAAGATTAGCAAAATCCTCTTTAGGAGGAGAGTTTTACTTCCACTTATTTTCTCCTGCCCAGGAAGACTGTAACCCCTTACATTATCAGGCTGACCTTCAGAAGGGCTCTGTTCTGCACAGCGCAAGAGAAATTCAGGCATTTGAAGCTATTAAATGAAAGTGTTGATATGTTGACCCATAGGAGCTAGCAAGGCAGGTTTAGAGGGGGTAACTGTGCCACAGACAGATAACAAGAACACGAGCAATGCTGCAGTCTATAGCAAACACCCAAAACTCCTTTTTTGAGCCCAAAACCACTTCCATCTTCCTCTTGCCGTGGCTAGAGCACAGGCAGCTCCCCCAGCACTGGGGACCCTTGCCCACTACACGTACCCGGACCTGCTGCCCCAGCACTCCTGTAATCCCAGCTCAGCCAGGCATTAGCACAAGGGCAGCCAGGAGGGTGGAGAGCTGGACACCTACCCCACACCACAGCCTCACACCAGCAGGAA